GCATCAAAATAGTAAGAAAGAAACACAAAGTATTCATTCGGTTTGAATGACCTACAAACAAGGTTATTGGGTTATGACCGCTCATTTTGTTACTGACGTCACTAGTCACGTTGTTTTATATTGGCTATGGTAAATTATTAAGATTCAAATTTAAAGTACAGGTTACCACTTGGTGTGCTTTTAAAACTTCATATATTAAGTCGATTCATTGTGGTCCTGAAGCTTAATATAAAACGAGTTTTAGCAGACTCGAAACATTACTCTATTAACTCGTGGTTCTGATTATCAAATTGTCGTATCCTCACGATCGTGTTCATCAAATTATTTTCAAATACTTTCTCAACAGACTTAAATATATTCCGTGCGCTTACTGATTTGTCTGTTCATGTATTATTCAAACTTTTCACACTCCACCAACACAAAATCTTTGTAAGCGAGACCCCAAACGATTAAAGTTTGAACGTTCCAGAATCAAGTTTTTAGCATATATATACACATAAATTCTCAAAAAAATTTCCGCTATAAGATTTTGAATATTTTAACAGAATTCAAAACAGAACGGGACTCTATGTCATGTACGTCCTTAGAGTAATGCTCTAATGGTTTCGCTTCCACCTCTTACTAGTATCGAAATGCCAATCTGAGTTATTGTGACAGATAAGTCACAGTAGCTTGTGTTAGAATTTGCGGTTACCGACCGGACTTCATGTTTCGTTTCCATACTATAGTCCCAAAATAATAGTTAACCATTTTGTAATGACCAGCGTTTGATAGGTTTGACTTTTACTTAAATATGGCTTTTTTACTGAATAGTTATAAGGGGCAGTGTAGGAAGAAGTCTGAAACAGGCAGACAGGAGGAAAGTAAGCCTATTAGTCAGTAAGCACATAAGATGGACTTACATTTGAGAATAAAAGCAATAAATAACAACTAGAAACGACAAGCATGAGTCTAAGACAATCCTATAATGGAAACTAAAAGCTATGAGCTTTAGCTTCCTAAAGGGTCATTATCTGGGACTGGATATGTCTGGTTAGTTTCTCCATAAAATATAGTTCTAACAATTTTTGAAGAAACGGAGTCTGAAATGTCATGTGAAATGTACTAAAATCATTTTTACAAATATATCTACCAGTCTTCACCCATATATTATTGTTTAATACAAATGGAGGAACGGCAGCAATTCAACCCATTCACTCTACGAGGGCTTTTTCCATTAGTTGTGTTGCGTAACAGTTAAAACCGTCGTACAAATGTCGATAACTTATTGGTTTATTTATAATACAGTGTAAGCAGAAAGCCAACTTACACGATTGTAGTTTGCCGTATTTTCAATTATATATGTTTGATATAGTCATTAGATCTCGACAATACGATGGCTTTCCAGCTAAATCTCAACACTTCAATTAACTGGCATAATAAGGACAATGTTTGCCTAAAAACGTTTTGAAAGTACAAATTCGACATATGTTCATGAGAGTTCTCCTTTTCATTGATTTCTACGTTGATTTTATTTCCCATAAACGTATGTTGTCTCCTCTTTGTTACAGGTCATAGTATGGCTGAAAGTCTAAACATTAACTTCATTCCGCCTAAGTTATATATATCATGCACTGGGCAAATTTCTAGTATGTGTAATCTTAACTTCAAACAAACCTCGTAGATTACTCCAAAAATCAAGTTTCCTGTTTAGGGAAGTTGCGAAGAACTTGGAGTTATCGGAATAAAGATATACTTATATCCCATATGATATACATTCGATTCAAAAACCAACTACACAAGTTTCTTTTTTTCAAATCGTTCTCGTCTGTAGATCCTCTTTGAGATTGTAGATTTTTTACAGGTTCGACGCAGTCTAGCACAACTTTGTGATGGTCCTATCCTAAATGGGATTTCAAATTTTTGTACTATGTCCTTAAAATGTAAAAGTGAACATTGTGTGAGTGGACATACTTTGGATCATACACTAGTATGCCTAATTCAATTGTACAAAAAAATAGAAATAATGCTACTTCGTTTGAATTCCTGCTGGAGGTAATTTGTATTAGACATATTTACGAAAATTATGTAGGTCATGTGAAGCACAGTTTACTACCGGACACTTTACCAAAGTCCTCTTATTAATAATGACAGTACTTTCAGGTTTAAGGTAAGTTAAAAAGCGGCATCAATATGGGTAGAGTTCAATCTCTTAATTCTCTAGATGAAGTTAACTGTTGTTATGGTAACCTCTTTGCAGTTCGAAGATCTTTAACAGATACAAAGACTTGGGTAGATTATTTAACTATAATTGATATCTTAGTTACCATCTGATGTTACACTACCGTCTTCATTAAATCATCAAACAAAACCACCAGCAACAGATGTTAATAATTGCGGAGTGTATTGTTCACAAAATCTCGTTTTATGTCATTTTACTTCAGTTTAGATTTTGGTGAAATTCGAACTAAAGATATCCCAAAGTTTTTGACCGCAAAAGGAACTCCTGATAATTTCGATTCTCATGAAGCCATAACTTCTAACAAACCTCTCGCTAACAATGTAAGCTATTATCTTATTTTCCTTAATTTACTTATTCAGAATAAAAAAGTTAAAAGATTTAGTGCAGATACTCAGCGTTCACTGTAAGTTACTAAGTATAATGCATTAACTTTTTAGAACTGCAATACTTCCACGCGCCACTCAAAAGAAACAAGAAGATCTTCTTTCTGTACTTCTTAACCACAGATAGTATAGTGTCTGAGATTATTGTACAGTTCCATGATCGAATATATACCTTTTTATATTATTTTCGTTACTTTCTCATTCAATGTAAATAACTAAATTTTTGGTTTATTAGGAAATAAATTTCTCTAAATGTTTTGTTTTATTGGAGTAGAACTAAATGATACTTCATTTTACTACATCTAATCATATATATGCTGAGAATTCTATATTGTACCAAAATATAATATTAAATAAAGCCATTAATAATAATAGCAAATAAATTTAGTATTACGTTTGGTCTTCTCATTACTAACATATAAATCTCTGAGGCGGATTGTGCTTTAATGAATATGAATCACGGCTATTTCTTAGTGATTATACTTAAGCAGTCGAGTACACTGTAATATCTACCATATCTAGTACAGTCACATTAACTAGTATCCGAAATGTTTATTCATTTTAAAATAATCTAAAAAATGACGTTCACCAGAACATTTTGACCCACATTTCACAACAGCACAGTAGAAGTAAAGATTGGCGAGATGGACAGCAAAGGAGGAAAAATGTCAATTGGAGTAAAAAATTTAGACAAGAGATACGATTTATAGAGAATAAATGGATTTTAACAATAAGAAAAATATGGAAATTAAGACTGAGAAAAATAATGTACCCAACTCTATGTATAAATAGTGTGTCTGACGGCATCAACCTGGAAGAACTGCATCCAACATGACTCAGGCTGGAAGTTGATGTCTTCACAAAATGATGCCTTGTTTTTGTTCACGGTCCCAGCGTAGTGCGTCGAGTTAGTCTATGGCTGAACTTACGTAACGTCTAAACTACTACAGTCGATGGATATCAAGAACCCTGTCAACTTCCCGTGATTAAATGAAACATTACTAGCTTAGTAGTCTTATTCACATGCTACTAATACTTTAGGAACATCTGTGCTTACATACTTTCTACCGCAATTGCGGCAAAGCGGTCCGGAGTGAATTGCTACCTTCGCCATTTGGGAGGTAAACGTTCGTACCACTCGAACACCATGAGGTACAAGGTGTGAGGAACCGGTGTAATTTCACTTAGATTCAATCAGCAACGGTGATAAAACTTCTAAGATAAACAAAGTGGTTAATAAACTCATCTAATTTATTCTCTTCAGTTCTCCAGGACATTCGTTTAAGCCGTTTCTGGAGCAGCATTTTGCATCGTAGAGAAATGTGCCAAACATTTACATCAACCCTTGTTGGGAAGACCGGCTAATTGAAACTCAAACGAGGGACATGTCACCTCTTAGCTTATCTGTGACAAAGTATGTATCTGTAAAGTGGGTAGTTCTGACCGAAAAATGTGACATATCTGCATTGACTAGGTCAGTCACATTCGGATGAAATAATCTTGGAAAAATAATGTAACTCGTGCATTTCATGATTGTGAATGCTGAAACTTCACAAACCGAAAGTCAAAACTAGACCTCCATGATAATCAGATTTCCGTACCCGTAAAATAGTGACTGGTAATATAAGACTACATCTAATTACCGAACTCTGTCGATGTTGGTAGCAATGCGTAAGCAGTGTTGAAGTTAGACGCAGTGCACCAGGAAAAGTTGGTAAATCTGTCAACTGTGAATGTCCATCAATTAAGAAGTTTTGACATGTATTGGCTACATTCAGTCAGTGCCTATTTCGACGTGGGTTGAAAGTAAGCTGGGGGAGGTCAAACAAGGACATATCAGTTCATAAAGTCATCCACTGTTGATTCAGATCACCTGGCTGGGATCTGCACAATTAGTGTGGTAAATAATTAAATACATTGGGTGGCATGACTGCGTCTCAGTGGTGCAGATACATCCACTCTTTGTTCTCTATACCCTGTTTCAGAACATCATCTCGTGAGTCACTTATTCTTGAATTATATCCCTTATGACTTTACCTTCTGTATCGTAGGTATTACATTTCTGGTGTTCATTTTGATATCATCTCGCTATCCCGAAGCGGTTCGGCAACTTGGATAAATGCATATATGCACCAGGTTCTACGTTGTTTATGACTGACCGACTCGATCAATTTGATTGATAAGCCTGAATAACAACGTGAAAACCTGTAGAGTTAAATTATCAGGAACTGCTGCTTCCCCACACATTTAGTTACGAACTCCGCAACTAAGAATTTTATGCCTAATTAAAATCTTGCATTTAGACTATCAGTAAGTAAGCATTAAAAAATATTAAGCACCTTTGAAACATAAACCACTTCTGGTTTCTACGTAAATAGTTAAAAGGTAGCAAGAGACTAGTCAAACCTACCAGATTCTCATAATAAGAATGAATTGGAGAATTGATGTTATTATAATTTCAGACAATTACCGAAAGTTAAATTTGGTACATGGTACTTATAAGCTGGAGTGACAAAAACGAAATTTCAAAAAGAATTAATCAACAGTTATCGACTGTATATCCGAAGGTAGTGTTTTCCGTCTCTTCTTTTCGCATGGACATACTAAATTCAAAAAAGGCTGAACAAATGTACCAGCGGGAAATATTACCTAGAATTATTAGAATCATACAGGTGTTCACAATGAAGGGAAGATTTGACACAAGATAGCGAGGAACTAACAGATACTAAATGAAAGTGCCAGATATATATGATCTTTGATCACTTTGTAAACATCGGTAAGACAAACGATGACGAATTACGTGTTTTCATACTTATTCTCTTACTAGTAATAAAGTCTTATTGTTGTTTATTTTCATGACCCATTCGTATAAATATTGCTTGTAATACAGGAAGTAACATTTCAAGGAGGAATTCTTCAGTGTTTCGAGGTGACTTGAGATACACTTATCAAATCAACAAAAGCTTCTAGCTGGTGAGTTCCCAGTAAAATAACAAACAAATTCTCGTCTAATAAAATCAATGTATCACAATGTAATTTAAGGCAATATTTCTGGTCATTCACACATACACACCAAGTTACAATAGAAAAAAATAGATTCAGTAAAAACGAACATCATTATATCAAGCTAGTGAATGTTTGCACATGGACATCTTTCAGGAGTTTCAAAAATTAAATTTAGAAAAAAAAAAATAGTTGTTAGATCAATTGTTATTCCATTTTTTTGAAAAAAAGAGAGATTACAAATGACATGGACAGCTTTCTCATTGAGATATGTTAACACAGAAAAGATTAATAACAATAATAGTCTTCTACAGTAGAAGAAAATCACAGTTGATAAGCAAAAATAGATATTATGGAATGTAGTCTCGGTAATAAAAAAATTACAGACTTATTGCAAATAATTATAACTGATAATGACATGTCAATCATGGAGTAGTCGAGAATAGCCCAAATCCAATTGTTATGGACTAAATAATGGCTACAATAATTCACCCTCGAAAAGGATTCATAATTGAGACACGACGAAGTACTGATTCAGGTATTGGTGTACTTGAAACTGGTGGCATTATGATTTTTGCAATGCCTTCAAGATTATCCAGAAATATTTTTGGTGTCAACAAGTGTGTACCACCAAGTACAACTTCCCAGTTCCAACCAACTCCTCCACCTGGGATTGTTGAAATATTTTCTGTTGTAGGTGTATTTATTTTATTTGTATTCTTATCACTAGCTGCAAGACGGGTTTCCACACACTAACAAAATAAGTTAAAAATGATTAACTTTCTTATTATTATTATAATTAGTTAAAAAGTAATCCATCTCAGATTGACACAAAATTCATAAGCTGTTGTTGAAAGTGACCAACAGTTTTGAATGAGATATAACATTGAAACCTTTAACATTCTGCACCTGATTTAAACAAGACTAGACAGTAATACGAAAACAAATTCATTGAACAATCACTTTATTTACACTGAAGATATCAAAGAGAATGGAAGGCTATATTGGATTAAATATTTAGAACAGAAAACTAATTGCATCATTTATTACAATTCACTTGGTGTAAGAAAGTATGTTTTGGACTTTTGATGGGAAGATAACAGAAAACGGTTGAAGATTTAGTGAAATAACTCGGGATGGATCGCACTATCGTCAGATCCGTGTACTACTCAACTTTCGTAATTTGTAATACCTTATTGATGAATGATGCGCGGTTTAATCGCTTTTAAAATAAATGAATAGAGTGCATACCGGTGGATAAACCTAATCATAAACGATGTGTTCGGTTTGATGGTTGCTCATAAGGATGGTTTATTGATGCAAGCTGATAACAAGGACAAGATAATTGACTTTGTTCTATAAAAAAATAACATGCTCATATACAAAATATCGAACACAAGCGATTAGAAGATACAGATTTTGTAGGTCACTCAAATCCAATCAAACTTAAGATGCAACTATTAGAAACCATTCTTTTCTGTTATATAACCTTGTCTTACACTAGCTTTTTGATGCTCAACTACACATTATTGGTATCACTATGGTCCAGTTCATACCCGTTAACATAACAGCTTTTAATTTTTGGGATTATCAATAGTCCAGTGATGAGCATACTATAGGGTAACCTCTCCTTTGTGTTATATAAATGTAACTGATCTACCAGATAAACATAAAATGATACATATATTTGATAGTAACATAGGAAAGAGTATATATGAACCTGTAATTTTGATAAATAACAGTTTACATAAAAAGACTGAGTCAGAGGTAATAGCTTAATGCTTAATAACTGATGAATACTGAAAGTTAGTAATTCGTAAAGCTTTCTGTCGATAATCTGTCTTTCAAACATGTTTATCAATGGATTTTTATGGATATTCACTATTTTAAAGGCATTTATCAATTCTTGTACCAGTCATTATGTAGTATATAACCTTCCTACTTAGTCAAATAAATTCTGGATCACTCGTTCTTTAAGTGATTAAGAAAAAGCCATTAAGGTTCAGATATGAACTACTCCATGTGCCTTTTTTACTTCTAAAGTGGATCAAGAATTTGAGGTTAATGAGAATTCGTCGAACTCTATTGTTTCTTTGAAATTTATAAAAGTTAAAATTGTATTACTTCCTTTAAAAAAACACAGTTATCATAAGCGATAAAGATGTTTCAATTTCGATAAAAGAAGCTTACTCTTTGCGTTAACTGGTAACCCACTCTGGCTTCTGATAACGTGAAACCTCCAACAACAAAGACTATAAGACGAGGACCACAGTGTTCAGTCATAGAAGCAGCTGTATTCCGATCCGAACCAGGATTTGGACTAGATGACCTAACAGATGCTGAAGGACCTGCAGACAAAACACCACTGGCATGAAATCGTGCGGAAGGCTTTTTAAAATCCTTAGAACTAGTATCCACTGCATTACCGAGACCAAACACATCTTTAATACCTTTTGCTACAACGAATCCAAAACGTGATTTGTCCAGCTTACCCGAAATAGCTTGCTAAGAGTAACGGAATAAAAGTAACAACATAGTTCATCGAAAACCTTCAATACTTTATTTAGTTCCTTATCCCAATATAATAAGTGAATAAATCTGGTAATTTATTAGAAGATATAATTATGACATTAAAGTAAACAAACATATGATGGTGTATCTGACAGTCTGCTAAAATATAAGCAAGCAAAAGAAATGTTCCTAACGGCCTAAAAACAAAGATTCGTAAGTGATGTGAACAGAGAAACAAAAAGAACCATGAATAACAAATGAAGCTATTTTTAGGGACATTATTTCACTTAATTCAAAGCTTGTAACACTATAAACCATAAGCTTTCATTTGATGTATGATTCACTATCATAAACCTTTTTGTTCCAAAGTTATTTAAACGTAGCCTTTGCTACCATTTTTTCTACACTAATTCCCGGTTTCCTATATAGTTGTATTTTCCTAATTGTTTGTGCGTTGTTGTCATGTTGGTCATCTATTTATTCATGTATCTTTTAGAATTAATCTGGATCGGAGTGTGAATCGAAATTGGGAATCAATCGAATAGAGTTCCACTTGACTAGTCTTATCTCTCTCACGCGCCTGTCAACCAACCAGGTAATAGAATGATTTCCGTCTCTCTACCCAAGGCGGTTAGTCTTACTTCGAACCCACGTGATTGTAACCTCAAGGTTAAACAAGTCAGCCTATCGAATCAAGTAAGCTATCTACTGTATATCAGTGGGTAAACAGTTCAAAGACGTAACGGTATGACAAATTTACCTGCTAATGGTGAATGCCATTATTCTCACATGGTAGCTTAGTATAGTTAAGCTACTTGACTTAGAACTTTACTCCATACTTACTCATATAAAACGTAGGACTCAAAGAGGAGTACATAAACCCGTAACTTGGTTACTGAGTTTAATTACAGTGGTTAATTCCAAATCAATAGTAAAATACTTCACTATCAGAATTGACACAATTTCTCCTAATTCACAAACTATTTTAGCAGTTACGAAAGATTAAAGCTGAAGTCCTTGTTATATTCAACAGAATCAAACCAAACGTTAACGAAAAAAAGTAAGATATGTATAGGAAAGTTGACTGTGTATGAGGCCATAAATAACACCTGTCGTTTGTTAGACAACTTGATAATGAATTCCAGAACGAATAATTCTTAGCTGAGTACCTCTTCTAAATCACTGTACCATAAATTATTCACTGTTAAATGTACATAAAATCTGCTTAGTGAAATGTTCAATAACTAAAATCTATATGTAAATGAATGTTGGAATCCGACTGTCAACTTTTAACACATTAAAAACCCCTTAGCTAATTTACATGACTTCACAGATTAACATATCATACTAGGACGAAGCGGCCGTCCGGTGCACCCAGGTATATAGAAACTTTTGAAGTAATATTTGTACAAAAAAAATTAAGATCTATCTGATAATAAGTAATGTGGAAACACTTATTCAATCGTTACATATCACAATTGATGACTTGTACTACGTTCAATTACTTTTCTTTGAATATACTATACAATAACTAGCACACTGTTTAGTATATTATTGGTCGAAATTCAATAGATGAAATGAAGTAATTTACAAATGAAAAAAGATTGTATTCGATAACTGGTAGTTTTAGTGTCGATTATTTTTTTTTATTTTCACATAGAATAGTAAGTAGTAAAAAAATTAGATTAAAAAAACTACCAAAATATTTGAACTTACTTCCATAATATCTAAAATATACGGTGTCCATCGTGATAATGCATATGAACTAGCATTAACACGATCTACACGTTTCTTTTTTACTGGAAGGTATGTTTGTAATAATTGGCTAACTTTTGGAATTGGTGGTAAACGTAGAAGAGATACGCATCTACCCAATTGATATTGTGGGACATTTGTCTGATTAGGCAACGATATAGTGACGGGCTATTTAAGGAAAAATAAAGTAGAGACACATTGTATCCATAAGAGTGTATGAACAGAGTAACCTATTAAAGGAACAAACACGTCATCTATGAGCATGTATTATACAGTTGTTCGATTGTCTTACTCAAATGCATGTGATACAAATGAACTACTCGAGTGAGAAAACAACAGATGAATAGCAAGGTGTTAGAAAACCTCAATCGACATATTTACACAATGTGGTGGTCGGTATTCGATATAATCCATAAACTTCGTATACAGTTCGTCTTGATAACCGTCCTATATAACGCCCCAACGGTATATTAATCAGAAGGCGAGTACGAAGCGGTGATTACGTTTATCACGGGACCACACACACATATCCAAAATTACAGATGCGTTAAACAAGCATGGAAGAGTTGTGCCGAAAGGCAAGCAAGGCAGCGAGTGAGTCAGCGAATATGAATACGAGCAAGCGCGTACGATTAAGCGAGCGAGAGCAATGAGTATGAATAACATGGACATATATATACATAGTGAAATGAATGAGTCATCGAATCAAATAAGCGGCTAGTAGTAAGGCTAGCATAGTGAATACATGCATGGGGCGTAAGCAATATTCAAGCGTACATGTCCATACATTTGCAATAGTAAGTTGTTGTTAGGATGACTCAGTTCGTTAATAAGTTAATAAAATGACTTGATTGAAGTAATTGTGAACAAACTCAATTTCACGTGATCTGTTATGACAAACGTATTTATAAATGCAGATGTGTCCCTTGGATAATCAAACTATGCTTCAACCAACAGCGATCTGTCTGTGTTAAACGCGTAAACAAGTCAAACTTTGAACAATAGCATGCATCCCTCAATATCTTTGTCTTGTCATTTGGTCTTCAGCTGACATATTTGACCGACCCAGTCTATCGCATTTCCTTCCTGAAAACTAAGTCATCTCGGATTCAGTAGGAGTTGTTGTTGGCAGTGTTCTTTGATGATCTCTTTAAGGTTTGATTGTTGATTTTGATGCCTTAGATTGGTTGTTCCGGAAGATGTGATAAGTCGGGTCAATTGAACATATCAGCTGAAGACCAAATGGTAAGAAAAAGATATTGAAGAATGCACTCTATTGGTCAACCGTTTCACCAACTTAGTATCTATTTCATATCAAGTCCCCAAAGTGCTTCTTGTCCAATAAGACAAAAATAATCAATTAGATACTTTTACATGGTAGATCAATCATTGTGTGAAATTATGAATGAAATTAAAAGCAAAAGTGGACCACGTAAAGATAACATCGAGCAGTCAAGTATTGTCATAAATTCTGTTATCTTTTTAAAAATTTAATCACTGTCACTGAAAACAATTACTTCGAATTTACAGGTAGAAAACACTCTAATGACTGGTATTCACATTCATAAATAGTAATGAGGAAAAATCATCAGCAGGCTTGTTATGAGTGACGATTACCAAAAAAGTAGTTAATTGTAAATAACACTAGGTCCCAAAAGAAGGGATGAATATATTAAACATTTTTTACGCTTGATACTTAGAAGACAGATATCGGGCTCTTATTCAAAGAAAACATAGAACACAGTACAAATATGTACTGTCACTACTAAGAGTATTGTATGGGCTTCAACCGAAGAAGTTTACATACCACATAGGGCTTATATCAGTAGTCAGTGAAGAAGATACAAGTGTTTATTAACGGTTGTCTACCAAAAAATGCTTCGGATCCGTTGGACAGACACTATAGGAAACAACCTACTGTGGGAGAGAACAAACCAGATCCCAACGGAGGGAGAAATCAGGAAGAAGCACTGGAAGTGGATAGGACACACATTGAGGAAAGCACCCAACTGCGTCACAAGGCAAGCCCCCACTTGGAATCCTCAAGGTCAAGGGAAAAGATGAGGGCCGAAATCACATTACGCTGAGAAATGGAGACATACATGAGAAGAATGAGCAACAGTTGGATAGAACTAGAAAGGAAGGCCTAGGACAGAGTGGGCTGGAGAATGCTGGTCGGCGGCCTACGCTCTATTGGGAGTAACAGGCGTAAGTGACTTTATGAACCGATGCCATATCTGGGCTCGGCCTTCCTTAAATTCTGACCTAATATTATGCCAGTTAAGACTGTATGAGTTGTGACGGTCGGTGTTCGAAAACTAATACTGATACATGGTGTGCTACGCACTGACCCCCCCCCCCAACTGACTACTTGAGAGAGGATATGAGAGTGAGCAACAAATTATATTGGACTACCGGACAAAATGCACGAATACGCGTTTATATATACCACTCCAACCCTTAGGAAGTTGATCCACTTTTTAGTCAATGAAATGAACTTGTCCTTTGGGTCACTTCTGATTGGCTTGCCATATAAGTATGAGCAGTCTTCGACTGTGAATTGTATTACCCTTGCCAAATGCGTCGAACGATAGAATTATACGGCCTAGTCCATCAGCTTGTCATTTTCGCTTAGTATTCCGCACCTAACCTCATAGTTACTTAAGCTGTCCATCGAAATGGTTAGTATGATAAGACTTCGAGAAACAACTGCCGGCAGAGCCTGACTACACTACCATGATAACCAAGTTCATGAAACAGTTACGGTTTGATAAGTTGTTTTTAAAATGAATATGCGCATGAATTATGATCTATCAAGAGTTGATTACAATTAGGATCAACTATGTATGGAATACAGATTTTCTAGATTTTCTAGAAATAGTGATTAGAAATCATGGAATTAAAACACATTAGACGATTATGTAATGAAGTAACTGAAAATAGATTAATGTTAATAAAGAGAGATATGAATTGAAATTGGTCAGTTATGAGTGATGTAATTATAAAATTCAGAAAGAGTTGAAATGACGTAATAAAAATAAATAAAATAAACGGGGTTGGGGTGAATGTTACCAGGGCAAGGAAAGATTTATTACTGTTTCTTTTTGTATACAAAGATCTGGTTTTAAACGTTTGATTGCTATTGCTTCGGCGAATTTCAAAAGGTTTGAATTTGATTGTTTGTTGATTACCCTGAAGGACTTCAGTATATCGACTTCGTGTCCTGTGTCAATGAGATGTCTTGCGACAGCGCTGCTGAATGCTTTTAGTCCGTTTGATCTCAAACTCTTCGGAATATGTTCTTTGAATCGGACGTAGGCTCTCCTTTCTGTTCTACCAATGTAACTGCTTTGGCAGATACATGTAAATTTGTATATACAGTTGGTGGTAACATGAAAGGGATACCTGTCGACCTTTGATTGTGTCAAAGAACATGTCGTTTTGGACAGGACAATCAGTTTAGCTGCAGGATATGTTTTTGTCAGTGCAGTTTTTAGTCTCATATTGATCGATCCTGTGACATTATCGCCTTTGAATTGAAGTTGAATAAAAACAGGTTTTTTATTTACTGTAGTTTCTTTGGGTATTTTATCTTCACGTTTTCCATATTTCTCAATGAATTTCAATGGGTATCCGTTATTTCTTAAACACTTTTTAACATTCATAATTTCTTCTTCTATTGTATCTGCAGTGCATATTCTTTCTGTCCTATGAAACAGTGTTTTAACAAGCGCCTTTTTATAATTGATTGGACAAAAGAAACAAATGTTTCTATGACACCACTTAAATTTCTAATTCCATCATCTCTTATTTTCAAGTAGCCGAAATAAAAGAGAAAACTGGAAAATTAAGCAGAATTAATATTGTCACTAACGAAAATGTAGATTGATGTCTATGATCAATTGTTCCTTCTGTTTCTTAATAAATATTAAAGTCTATCAAATAGTATGCACTAAAAATAGCTTTCGTGTATCTTAACATTTATTTACTGTTCATTTTTTGTGCTGATCATCGAGTTATTATGATACTATTGAATTACTTTTAAAGGAGATTCCCAAATATTTTCCGATAAATGTGATTAGATACTTCATAAACTAACTACAATACATGTCTTTTTGTGCTAGGCTGTGAGTCGTATTTACTTTGAGTTGATGTGAAATAGATCTCGGTTACATAAACCGAGATACAACGGTGGAGGTATCAAAAGCACGGTCTAATTCTTTGGGAAATAAGAACTTGGTGATCTCACCGTACATCGATTAGTATGAACTGTTCCGACCGCATACTTAGAGTATTTATTAGACCGTTATAGATGCGTACCTGTAGTTTAACCAAGTACTGTACATCTTTATCAACTGTTGTGTTAATATTGGCTATTTCTGCGTAGAACAGTGTCAACACTTACATTTGGATTAAATACGAATCAGGAATAATCGGTTGGTACAATCGATTCACCATTATCATCGCATCAAAAGATAGTTCCTAGAATTTCATATAGACATTTTTTATTTGGTTTGACATCCATAAATGTTCATTCAAGACGCTAGCAACTAATTGTTGATGTTTAGATATGAAACAACTTTCAATAGAATTCAACCTCTATATATTTGGAATAATCTTCACTTGATAGAGAATGTGATAAAAATGAAACGTGTGATGAGTCGACGTTATCACATGTACTTAAATTTATGATTAGATAATACATAAATGACTGACTACCAAATTTATTCGTATAGTTTTGAATATTTCTGAATTCGATTACAAATGTATAAGTTTAAATAATCCAAATATAATTTGTATTCATCCTTTTTATGTTCTTTTAGTTTAATTTGATTGGATGCCGGCTCAGTGGTCCAGTAGGTTAAGCGTTCGCGCGCGAGACTGAAGGCCCTGGGTTCGAATCCCGCGAGCGGGGTCGTGGATGCGCACCGCTGAGAATTCCTACAATAGGACGAAACGGCCATCCAGTGCTTCCAGGTTTCCAACGGTGTCCTGACATCAATCGCTTCATGATCTCAATCAAAAACTTGATTTAATATGTTATCCCGTTTTTAAAAAAGGAATTTCATTATTTTCATTGAATCACAGAATATAATACATTGAAGAATCATTATTGATAAACAGAATAATGTGAAAGACCAACTTACATCAGATTGAATTAATTGAGCATTCATAATGAATGAAAGACTTGCAAATAGTGGTTTGAACGAACGTGCAACTTGAGCACAATCCAACAGTTTATCTAAGTGTGTTTCTGCAAATCCCTCTGAATTTGTTTATAAACATAAAAATAGTAAAATAAACACAATATAGTATAGAGCCATGATGAAAAAGTAATTGAAAATAAATTTCTTTGTTCTAATCGTTCTTTATTTTACCAAGTGACAAAATGGGAATTTCGACTATGCCGATATATATATACATCAATAAGTTCAGTTACAACGTATTATAAGTTAAGTGACTAACTAATTCACGATAGAAAATTTGTTCATACATATAACATATAATAAAGATTCATGCTCATATAACAGGTAATATTCATGTAGATTCAAAACAAACTTCAAATATGGGAGCAATTGATATTACTCGGATGCCCAAACGGAAGTAGGTAAGACAGTGTTTGAGCCTGTAATGTAGTAGTTGAACATCTTAACCCACTGCTCCGCCAAACAACAAGAAATGTTAACTATTTATTGTTTATCACTGAATAAGAATAACTAGTGTCATAAAACAGATTCATAACCATTTTTTTAAGAAAAATAAAAGTGCCAAAACAGAATCAGTACACCACAAAACAAATAAATGGATTTCATTTTGAGTAGAATATACGACAACATACATCTCTCCATTTAATCAAATACCATTTACCGTACACAATGATAGTGACACTCTCAAATATGTTGAATGTGTGTAAATGTATATATTTCAAAAGTGTGTCAATGCATATTACTATACCGTAGCACAGTTTGAATGAATGAAGTATTCAATATACTTCAATGATTTCATACATGAAATGGATCTGTTCCATTAGACTAATTAATTCTTGACGAAAATTACTATTTTCAATTGTTTTATTTTCTGTCGCTTTCTACTCATGCATTGATGTAATCATATATAACATCCTAGTTAGTAACATTATCTACAACTTACGCACAGAAATAAATAATTTGAAACTATCTACCTGTATGATCATAACAAATAAACCATTTATAAATGTTTCACTGAAAATAAGAAAGTTACATAACTAAGAGGCATTTCTTTGAAGACATATAAATGTACAATGGAAGAATAAATGAATTATTCCAAAACAAATAAAAATAATAAAATTACAACATTCAATACATAATAGCTCCAGAAAATTAACTATTAGCTTCATTGAATGAAAATCTACTTAGATTAAGACGAATAGTCCTATTTGTGTATTTAAGGTGATGAAATGTGTATGTATGCATATATTTATATGCTTGTATATATTTATGAACCCATCAACACGCACAAAGATTGAAAGGAAATTCAAACATGGCTAATCGACAGATTTCACACTCTAAATTATACCGGACCAAGTTAACTTATTTTAAGGTTGAATGAAGCGATAATTTTTTATGTTCATTAAAACATTTATTATCCAAAATGAAAATAGGTGGAAAAAGGTTAATTCATTGATACGGACATTGCAATAACAAATATTAGTGAGATTATATAAATCCGTTTTGAAGAAGATAAAGAATGAATATATGTTACCTTTTATAAGAGTAAAGATAAGTAAAAGACGTAAACGTTCTTCCACTGTTGTAAAATCGTATTTGAAAATATCAACCAATACACGCATAGGATCCGTTATAGGTTCTCCTTTTGCATTCTCACCCATCACAAGATCCTTTCAAAAGATAATATTCAGAGAATTACCATAAGTACACTAATAAATAGTGACTACACTAATATCTACTTTTTTCCCTCAGTAATATATGTGCAATAAGAATTTTATGTCCTGTATGTTCAAACGGGAATAACAAGACTTCGGAATCGATGGGCATAGGCGGTATAGATATTTGGTAAATTAAGAAACATGTATTTGTGGAAACTAGAAGGAAAAACCGCTATACATTGTTATAGTTATCTCTATTGGTAGATAATCACTTGTAGTTCTTTATAAATCCAGGACTCGATTGTGTATTGGTAGTTCTTCGTGTTCTTTCATCTATCATTATATTTCAAAAGCATAAAAACGCTTAATGTAACTCATTACCAGTTGATTGAAAACCATAATGTGATTTATATGTTGTTATCATATTAATTCATTCATCAGATAGTTGGGTATCAGACAGTGTAAGTTTGAGAGCTTACGATGGTGCCTGGTCGAAGTAGATAGAGTGAAGTGGACTTCAAATCTGGGAATTAGTGGCTGAAAGTCAAACGCTTTAGCTACTAAGTCATAGCTCTACGTATTCTATAAGTAGGTGATTGTGATTTCATATTTCGTAAGATAGTGAGACCGTACTGAAAACTTCAAAACACTCCCTCGTAGTCTTGATACACTGCTTTTACTTGGCAAAAATGTCGTTCCCAGACGTTTAACATTAATCCAAAAAGACATTACTTCCTTAATCACTTTTTCAAATATGTTCTAAAACTGCTGTCAATGAAATAATGTACAGTTTCTCATGTGACAACCTCATAACAATAATATTAGAGGCCTTTAACTTAGATTACCTTTGTTTTGTTTACTCGTTGGTTAAACTTACCACTAAATTTATTACTATCAAACTTCTAACTTGTTATCCATCATCATATTTACAGGCGAGTGAGAAGTAGAGAATATTAAAATAACCAATGCCAAAATGGAATAATATACACGGTTTATTTTTGAAGTAATATCCTTTATTAAACAACTTTAATGTTTTTCCATGTGTATAATGTGAGTTACGCCCAAAATTAAATTGCAAATCACAATAAGCTTTAAACACGTACCAGTTTGGTATCTCTTTGCGTGAGTACCAATCGATAAATATTGTAATCTCATTCAAAAAATAACTTATACATCGTTCATTTGTCTCATTTTCCATCAGTATACAGTATGTGTATGTTTTATTTCCTTTGCCCTAATAATTAAACTACATATTTCTCTACTAGTTAAAATAACACTAAGTTTTAGGAACAAATTAAGTTTATGAAAACCAGGTTGTATTTGTATATACTTTGACTTCAAACAGACTGACTTGACAGATCAACAGGAGTTAAAACAGGATATCTCTGGGAAAAAATAAACCCTAGACGAAATATTTTTGGTGTCACCGATTAACAGCAATACTTTACTTACGTGATTTTAGTGAACCAACGTATATGTAGGTAAAATCGACAAAAGGTCACAGAAAGTAAGATTCACTTCTCGAAATACATCTATAAAAAGTTATGCGATAAGTGTAGAGAGTCGTCATCGCTGACTAACACAATTTACTGTGATAACTTCCCAATACAGTTCTTTACAGAATGTTACTAAGACAGATGTTGAGTAAACAACTTGTAACTGAATAGTTTCGAGTTCGGTAATTTTGTTTACCGTTACGCACTTCCATTACGTATTTGGATAGACGAGATTGAGTTCTGATAATGGATTCAAGTGTCCAGATTATACTGTCCAGTAAATCTCTTAAAGAAAATGAAAATAGTCATAACACTCCATGACTTTTTTTAGTTTATTTTCATTCAGCTACGGTCAAACAATTATTGAGTTAAGGGTTTTCTAACAATTTATCAAATTACATAACATACCTGTGTTAATGATAAATAGAATCCTATCTTTCCCCATAAACTATAGAAAGCCACCGGTTAGAATCAATTTAGTGCGCTCAAGTGCCGCCCTACCCTTCCCTCTTCAACTAATCTAAATACTGATATTTCTAGACATCAAATGAGAGTCCTATAGTTATTTTTAATGATACTGTCATGATAAATTCACTTGATTTTAGCCGCATCTAAACAGCAAAAAGGAAAAATCACAATATTCACAATACTAAAACTACTCTCTTTTAAGTGAAATTACTTGTTCAATTTCACATAGTTTATCAACACCTTTTTTGAATGTAGCCATACAAGTCTCAACAATATGATAAGCAGCTGCATAACTAGCCGATTCTGTTTGATATTGTGGCATACGTTTGATAAGATCAGATAAATCTCTTATATCGACAGTATTTTTATTTGTATCTTCTTTTGATGGAACATTATCCAAATTAGCTTCTTCGAATTCAACAAATTGTTTTTTACTTTCAGCAAATTCACGAACACGTTGAGGAAGTGCCCTATAAATTGAATGAAACAACATAATAAATTGGTAAGAAAAAAATATGAATTTCACAATTGAAAAGTATTGAGGATAGTAACAATTAAGTTTTAAAGGATACGTCATGATTGATTAGGAGAACAGATACATTGATTTATTGTTTGTAGTAAAAAAAAACCCATTCATTACTGATTGCCTTATCAGTTACCACTAAATAGTATAAGAATGCAATTTATGACAAAATACAGATAACTAGACGGAAGATCATATATAAACAGAGACTGACCATATCAATAACGGGAAACAAGTTAAAAAAAATTTACTATTCATGATTATATTTGTTTGAAGTGAAAATAATGCTGAACACAAATAAAACATTCTGGTTACTCACTAAATAAGATTATAATTCTTTTAAAAAGTATCGATTTTCAAAACATATAATTGGTGAAAATCAAAAAACAAATGTTATGCAGAATGCAATATCATTGCGTAATACCTAATTTAAAGACGAAGCAGCAGATCTCACATGATAAACGTGACCGGTTAAAATAAAATGAATAGGACAAGATTTGCAGAGTAATAGGAATTCACTCCGTTTGTAGCTAATGAGAAGCCTTGAAACACAATGAATTTATTCTCCAAATGTTGTCTTTTTGGATTCATTTAAATTTATCACGGGATCAGTTGTAGATAAAACCTGATTAGATTTGAGGATCTTTTAGTATAATGATACAGAATAATGATGATATATAACAACTAGCGTTTACTTTATGATGGATATGCTAAATGAGCCAGACAAAATTGTATAATGATTTCAATGGCAGTGAGCGCGAACTATTATGAGTAATTAGATCCTCTGTCTATATATCTACTGTTTAGGTTAATCTAACTATAAAAACAATTGAGCTGGGAATATTCCTTTAGTAAATACAAATTCTTAGACGGTATTTAATTGGGTAGATTGTGTCCTGACTGTTCAATAGTAGCTGATTCACAATACAGATTATATCAATAATCCGAATTTCAAATAAATATAACTAATGGAATAACATACCTCGTAACATCTGCAACATGCTGATGTCGAAATTCTTTCCACAGTGCATCGCCATCAGCAACATTTGCTTTGCGATTTCCACTATACCTTTATATTCAAAAGATAAATACAATTTGAACAATAAAATAGCATAACAAATACAGTAAAAACAAAGATGGTATATAGTGAAGTCTATGATTGAAACAGACCCTCTCACAGCTTCATTAGCCTGATTCGACTCCCCGAACTAAGGTAATAATTTCAGCTTTTTTGGTGTTAATAAGTTTACTTCAATTTAGTCGAAATTACATTTTGGTCAGGATAGTCCACAGTTGAACTCGATGAAGCGCTAGGAAGCTCAGAAAGAGCCGAAGATATTCCATCCAGTCATCTTTCGGAATAATATTCCAGAATCACTACGTGGAACTTCCCTATTTGACAGATGCTAATAATCCCCTGTATGTGGATTGGAGGACTAAAATGATGATTTCTTTTTTACTAAAAACTATAAATATCTGACAGCTTTGTACCATCATTGATACTGTTTGGAATAGCATTCCTTTCACTTGTCTTTTCTCTTCTCACTTGCAACTTGGGAGGGTTCTAACGTTCGAGTGCTCAAGTTATACGCGGCATATTGTTGTCTTTAAAGTCGTCAACCCATATCATGTACAACAAAACGTTTCACTAAACAATATTTCAAACGGCGGATTTATGTTGCAGTTCCCGGAGAACTATATTTGATCCAGGTACAGTTCATCTAAAATGTTTCACCTTAATAGAATGGATGCATCATGACTAAAATTCTCACAAATCAATAAAGGCTATGTTTGAACACGAAGGTATATTATAAAACCCGAGTATTGAAAGCTCAATCAATTTAGCATTTAGTTATGCACTAAATGTCAATATCTAGTTTTGAGCCCGGTAGTTAGTGACTTCTATGAAAATGTATGAATGTGGAGTCAAATAGGAAGAAATTTATGTTTGAAGAAAAAAGTAATGATTGTGATATGCGACTCGATTGCACCAACCAACTGCTTTAGATTGTCATCACTCATCTAGGATTACAGGTTTTTTAAATCTGGTTTGTAAAACAAAAGAAATCTGTGAATAAGATATTATGTGATGTACTGCAGGTAAGTTAGAATTTTCCATAGAATACGAAAAGTATAATCAACTTTGATCTACGTTTTTTATGAGAGCTGGGGATAAAATTTGGCTAAACAAATTGATGTAGGTGAGGCGGGTTTTTTAAATGTGACCCATAAGTTGAAAACTGAGTACTCGAACGACTCAGTCATAGCTTTGATACAATTTTGAACAAAGTTATATAAACACGATACAATGTAGTACCACAACTTCTTATGAATTGATTTCCAAGAACGAGATTCATTTATTCACTTGGAATATTTAGACAAACAGTTCTGTTTAATTAAGACACTGATGTGAGTTTTTACTTATTTCTAGGTCATATGTTACGTCTGCCCAACTACTCCTTACGATGTTGAAAGAAATCTAACGACGGTCAATCTAAAACATGCCACCAATTAACGAAGCCATTGACTATTGGACTGAGCAATGTTGATATGTACAGAATATCTGATTGGGGTCCGCACCGTAACCATAATCAGTGGTTGAATGTGGTTGAAATGGCTTAAAATCAATCGTAGTGGCTCAGACGCACTGTCTCTTTGTTTCCATTAGATATTCAGTTTCAATATTCCTCCACATATATAGTCATATCTCCTATTCCAGCAATATTCTCAGTATTTAGTCTTTTTACCATCACTGATACTACTATTATTCCTACTACTTTACAATACATCCTGTTAATTTCACCTCACCATGCTGATGTGATGATGGTAACTCCGGTTGACTCTCATTTATGCTAGGCTTCATGTTGATTATAATTTTTCCTTTCCAATTTGTGACAATCTTTAGGAGACAAAAGTATACGAGGACAAATAGGGGATAAATCAATCTTGAAAACTTACTCAATTGTGTTTTCCTCCACAGTGAGCAAATCATAGCACATAGCCTGTAATGTTAATTCATGCAAAAGAGGAGTAACGGGATCCAAACTTCGGTCAACAATCAACAAAAGACTTTGATCTTTATGTGAGCCCTGAAGAGTGAGAAAGAGAGAGAGAAAAGAAGGAAAGTTCAAGCTCACAAAATAAAAGGTTTGATCAAGTGTATGGATATTTTTCAGTTGGAAATAAATTAAGCTAAGAAACGAACCATAATTCATAAGACGTTTGGTGGAAAAAGAACAAACACAGTTTTTGTGATTTCCAATAAAAACATTTTCATCAATAGTAACTGCATGGATATTGTTTTGCTGTAACTACGATACTGAATAAACCTTCGAATTATAAAACATTGAAGTTATAAATCACAGGAATGACAGATTTTAGCAAGGAAAATGCTACCAAAAACAATATAAACCACCATAAAATCACCTTTAAAAAATTTAGATTATTAAACACTTGTCATTTATAATGAAGCTAGATCAGAATTTAAATGAATTCTTCGTATTGTTAGTTGTCAGACCGGTAGAGCTTTTTGTTACCGACGAATGGCGCAAACTGAAGGTTTACAGTATCATCTAAAAATCTGTTAGTTATTTAAAAACCAACTTCTCAAATGGAAATAAATATTTTATGAACCCAAAAAATACAAACGGTTTTCTAAGACAAGTTCGCAACTTGAGAATGGTCGAACGAAGGGGAACCTGATAAGTAACCAATCCTACCGGAATTAAAACCAATAGCATTTCTGAAATCCTCTGTAGTTCTAATAAATCAGTTGTCTGGAGTCGTGACTCTCCGACTCTCCTAAGTAAACCTTTTTTACCGACTGAAGCAGTTCTGTTACGTCCTTGATCTGTCTACCCAATAACATACAGGAGAGGACTTGTCTCCATCTAGGTTAAGGACTTGTCACGATAGGCTAACTGGTTCAACCTTGATACTAGAAATGCGTGAGTTCAAATTGAGACTAACGGCTTTAGGCAGAGGGACGAAAACTATTATATCGCTTGACTGGTCGACAAGCGAGAAAGAAGAGTCAGATTAATTCCTGATTCAGATTAGTGTAAAAATAAACATGAATAAATATATGACTAACAGATCTACAACGCACAAACAACTAGAAAAATACAATTATTTCTAAACTGGGCATTAGGAGTAAGAAAAGTAGACTACAAAAAGTTATGTTTAAATTACAATAGCTTTGGAACAAAAATGGATATGACGGTGATTCATACATCAAAATAAAGCTTATGGTTTATAGAACAGTCTAGAGACAAAACTAAATGTTAGTATTTTATAAACCTTGAATTAAACGAAGTAACGTTCCAAAAAGTAGCATCCGGTGTTTGTCATAACTTCTTCATTTTCATGTTCACATTAGGTTTATTTCCGCTTTTATCGGAACAACAACCAGATGTAGGCAGAGGAGGACCTTCATCAAAGGTATAAAATAACCCTATGTGTTTCCATAGGAAAATAGACCTCTTATTATCCTCAGTCAAACCAACTTGTGTGTTTTATCAAGTTGCTTGTAGATGATGCGGTTATGAATATTAATCATATGTCGTAAAACACCAAAATTAGAAATTCAAAACTCACCTGACCCAAAATTGGGTTGTCGCTCTTATAGGTATCTAATTTCACTTGCACAAGACGGGCCAATTCGAGGTTACTCTCTGTCCTGTAAAATTTGGGGAATAAAATAAACTACCATTCAAAATAAAGAATATATACTAGACTCCGACGACTGTACTGTTTAATTATAACTACACTACCTGATCCAAAAAATCTGAGAAAATCAAGATAGTAAAACAGAACATCGATTGAAGCTTCTGTACTTCAAAATAAGAGAGCGAAACCACACCAAATGTAAAAACAGGTAAATACGGAAAGAAACATTTATTTTATTTTAGTAACGTTGCACTCCTTGAGATGGACGGTTTGATTTCGAAGCTCCATTTATCTTCCCAAACAACATCAAAAACACGGGATACACACAGGAAACAACAAAGACCTTACGAACAAACCATTCAGCTCAGAACACAAAAAAAATACAATGATAATATTGTGAATAAATATAAGAGGATGAGGTTTTAAGATGATCGAAACAGTATTTAATAAAGGATTTTTAGTTGAAAATATAACTGAGATAAATTTCGTTGAATTATGGTTTAATCAATTGTTATTAAAACTGCAATAGAAAACAACAATAGGGTTCCCACCGGCTTATATTCAGACATATTTGGTAATGCTTTAAGCCGCTTAAATCAATTATCCCTAAGACCCAATCCAAAGAATCATGATGATCTAAGAGCTCTCAATCTTATACGGCTATCTTTTTCCCAGAGGGAGTAGCTGAGTGTGTCAACTACTTCAATCGTTTCGGAAGATGTCCGCTTGTCAACTAAAAGATGAGTGTACTTTGAGGCAGTTTGTTCTGTTTTATGGCTTTGAAGCGTGCATGCCTTCGACGCATAGCTTACGCACATTAGGACCACTGAGTGAACGTGTTAACGTTAAATGCAGGGTACTAGATAAAAATGGTAAAATCTTCGTAGACTGTGGTTGGGATATGTATCGTGAGTATCCAGCTACCGCCTACTATGACAAGTGTTGTCGGCTCGTGTAACCTAGGTCAGTAGAAAACTAGGGGTAACCAAACGAGGATGTAGCAATAGTTTATGCAATCACTGACTGTTGGTATTAACCATGTTGGTAGATCCAGACCACCTGGTTGGGGTCCACACAATTATCATCACCAATGGTTGGATACGTTGTAAAACATAGCTTTGAATCGATCGCAATGGCACAGATTTGTTCCTCTAGTTAATGAGTTATAAGAATGCTTCATATCTTCTATTCCCCCAGTCCACTTTTTCTTATTGAATTATAATCTCGATCTTCACTCATTTTTCCATCAGTGGTACTACAACATTGGTATTGATCTTGATAACCTTGTCGTCTTGGAATGAAGTATTTATCGTTTTCTTCGTAAAAGTAGGCCCACACAAAACCTGCAACGATTACTGGAGCACACATCTGTTCCCAAACACTTTTGAACTGTTAGCTTACATCATATGTCCGTGTTATACCCTAAACAATCTGGCCGCCCCCAAAGGCCCTAGTATGGCTGAGAGTGGAGTGGGCTCACCTTCCCTCTCAAAATGCTCTCACACGGCCACACATATACAGCCTCTGCCAATGAAGTCCTACTCAATGCCCTCTCGCGAAACATCCCGCTTATAGACACTGGGTTTCTTCAGGCTCCTTACAATTCATCGCAGCTCGTCGGTCTAATCCGTGTGACCGTGAGTTTGACCACAAACGAAGGCTATTGCGTAATGAAATCGGGCAAAGAAGGTGGTTTTCTTAGGGAGCAACACCCGGAGCCTTTAACATCAAGGTCTAATCCACAAGGCAGTGAAGCAACGTCACGAGATGCAGTCTCATGGTAGCCGGTGACCAACGATTGGTTCATACGCAACTTGTTCCCTCAGGATCCTGGAGCCCATGTACACCATTGGTTTGGAATCAGGGTTTCCCAACTACCCTAAGTGGACTCTCCAAGTCCACCGACCCGGTTAAAGCGCCGGAGTTTCGTGTTTCGTCCTCTCAATTTCGTAAACAATACTCTCTTCACGAGAAGGCAGTGAGTAGGACTTCTCTGACAGAAGCTACATACGCGTGGCCATATGAGAGCATTTCGAGAGAGAAAGCGGACTTTCCCCACTTTCGACCGTACCAGGGCCTTTGGGGGGTTCACATTGTTTCTGTAACAACTATCTGGGGATAAGCCTACTTCTGATTGCGTCCAAGCTATTGGAGAAGGGTGTGCCTAAAAGCCCTATATACAAACACCTTAGGTAGAGTGAGGACATATAACCACCTCTCTCCGCTGTTCCATTCAAGCAGTGGGGTTAGACAGGGTTGCCCAATATCACCATCCCTCTTCAACTTTGCCATCGATGATATTCTGTAAACAGCTCTGATGGATATAAGTAATGGCGGTGTGGATCTGTTGCCCGGAGAAAGACTTCTCGACCTTGAGTATGCGGACGATATTGTCTTACTGTGTGATAACGCCCAAGTCATGCAATCCGCACTTAATCAGTTGGCAATTAGTGTCCGTAGGTACGGTATGTGCTACGCACCTTCTAAGTGCAAAGTACTTTTACAAGGCTGGCAGGACCCTGATCCTGTACTCACCCTGGATGGTGAGCAGATAGAAGTAGTCGATAAGCTCGTGTATCTAGGTAGCTGCATAAGTGCTGGTGATGGCGTGAGTGATGAGATCAATGCGAGTATAGTGAAAGCTAGAGCGGCTTATGCCAATCTGGGTCATCTTTGGCGCCTTCGTGATGTCAGTCTGACTGTAAGAGGTCGGATTTACAACGCGTCGGTGAGAGCAGTTCTGCTCTATGCTTGTAAAACCTGGCCTCATCGAGTTGAGGATGTTAGACGACTCTCTCTATGTTTGGTCATCGTTGTCTCCGAAGGATTGCTGACATCCAGTGGCAACACCATGTTAGTAATACAGAGGTTCGGTATCGTGTGTTCGGGCGCAGAGACGATAATCCAATTGATGTCACTATCTTGAAACATCGACTTCGGTGGCTTGGACATGTTCTGCGAATGCCGTCCCAGAGATTTCCTCGTCGTATCCTGGTTGTCAAAAGCGGAGAGGTGGTCAGTGTATGACATAGTGTCGTGGTATGAAAGGAAGCTGCACAGGACTGGCTTCTGTTGGTCCTTCACGACTCCCTGGTTGGGGTTCGAGAGATGGTGCGAAACAGTGGCTAGCGACGTTATCAGATATGCTTCAGAATAGAAGCCAGTGGCGATCCTGCTGTAACCTTCCTTTACTTTCTTCATAAAAAGTGACCGTAGCTCCTTTAAGTGAAGGTACTTTTCTAGTTGTACCTTTCCGTTCCCACCATTATTATTATTATTATTACACTACCTTACACTAATCTGGTCATTATTGGTCCTCTTTTTTATTTTACGCTCCTTACCTTCCTTTTTTCTCTTCCCATTCTCATTGTTTTGTGTGGCGCACATATATATTGGCTGCCCCCTTGTACCAATATTTATGTGATCAGATAAATAAATAAATAAAATAAATAAACAATCTGTCTAGTAGAGATAACCAAATAAGAGACAGGTAGATAGAAAAACATAACACTACAGATATCGAATAACTAAGACCATCCCCCATGACTGCGTATATGATGTTGTGTTGTTTCAACCAATCACACTAAAGAGCATCTGGGAACAGATGAACTTTCAGAACTATCCTACGGAAGATTATTATTTACACTTTTATTGCACGACAATACGTCGCTTGGATTTCTGTATCTCTATATCCTCCTATTTGTAAGCTTTCATTTGACCAGCGAACTGTTGTTATACATAATAATGTCCCAAACTTATTAGTGATTATTTTCTTATCCTTCCGTTTTTTGTATTACTTATGGATGAGCTGTGTACACATCGTAATTTCCTATTTGTGCTGTTGTGCGACCAGGTATATCATTGTATGAATCATGAATGGAGAACAATAGGTATATTTTCAGTATGTGGTTGCGAAGATCATCGTACTTAAAGGAAATCGTTAACCGATCAACATCAGACCATCACTAAAAACCCGGGAGCATTGGACGGCCGCTTCGTTCTAGTATGGGATTCTTAATCAGTGCACATCCGACCCCACATACAGGAACCGGACCCAGGATCCTAGATCTCGTGTGCAAACGCTTAACTTCTAAACCATTGAGCTGGCATCCATCGGTGTTGATGTCTAACTTCAGACAATTCACGACACGGTGCGACCATCTTTCACTGTCCCTAGCGGGTAACTGCCTCACACTCGACACGGATTGGCCCCACTGTTCGCAGCTTCTCGCTAGTCACTAACACCGTTTGATACCAGCTCAGTGGTTTAGAAATTAGGCATTCGCACACGAAACATAAGGTCCTGGGTTAGATTCCCGCGTGAGGAATCGTGGATGTACACTGCTGGGAAGTCCTATACTAAAATGAAGCAGCCATCCAATTTTTTCAGCTTTTTGATAGCGTTCCAACTTAGATCGGTTCATGGTTCCAAAGAGATATTTCCTTGCTAACTTCGTCTTGTAATCAGATACTGAGTTGGAAAGAGTTCGAGGACAAATAGATGATGAGGTCTCGGTCGCTGTTCATTGGTCCCCGTGTCATCGGGCCTACAGGCAATATAAACGAATGTCAATAATTGGACTAGAGAATACAACTGTTCCGATAATAAACGGCCCGACCATATGAGTCCTAAAACAAATCAAGAACCTTTTTAGAAGGTACACCAAATATTATCAAAGATCTCAACTAGGTCGTCTTGAACATATCATCACTAGTAGTTAGCTTTATATCTCTTTACTATATCTGCTCAGAGATTATTTTATACTGGTGGCAACAATGAATGGTGAAAGATGTTAGGTCAACATACACAAAAAATATCATACCCACAGTCGGAAAATTAGACACCTCTACAATGTGACACTTAGAGGATGACTTGAACTGGTTAGATCAGTACCGAGTTCGTTAACACTAAGGTTGAAAACATAATAATAATTGTCTGGAGGACTCCTTATTGGTTGAATCTTAATGGCAAGAAAAGGTTATTTGGTCAAAAACTTTGAACTATGTAATGAGTGATCACTATAAAAACTGAGGATTATGACTAAAACCAGATAGATAAGCTTGTGCAAACAAAATTAAGTCCATATAGTACGCTTACTTTTGGTAACAAATTTTTGGATACTCTTGCAAAGTTATGCAAACAGAAGCAAGTTGTTCTGCAATCTGGTCGATTCGACTGAGTTTGTCATGAACAATATCTGATGGCAAAAAGTAAAGTTGAGCACTTTCCGTGGCTTCTAGTGAATACAGATGAGATTCCAAGGGAATAAAATCCACTGACAATTGAATCATATTCATAATACGTCGGACTGCTTGGGAAGCAATTATCTGATTAAGTAAATCGTTCGGACAAGCTGGAAATAGAAATTTAAATAAGCCCTTAATCTCATATTTAAAAGATCATAAATCTTAAGGATAAGAAAGATACAAGTGATTCTCTAACTTACATGTGAACACTGCTTTATATTCAAAAGTAATACATAATATAGTCATGAAACAACAGCCATGAAAGTCGAAAAGAAGCAACAAAAATGATAACAATAGTAGTTATGGGGAACTATGTATAGAAAGATAATATAGGGAAATAGTACTATGCAGACCTCAACCAGATATTCTGTACCTATCAACATGGTTCAGTCCAATAATCAATGGTTTCGTGAATTAGTAACATATGACCCAGAAACATCAGGTGAAGAATCGCAGACTCGTAAGCCGATTTACCATATTGGCCTAGTGATGTACGTCTAGTCTTTGCGTTGCTCACTCTATTGTTCCGTGGTACGCGAGTAATGGTTTGAAAACAGCTATGATCAAAATCATGAAGTTCATGCATTTCTTGTACTCACATCGACCGTAACTCACAGCCATCGTGTAATTCAGAGAGGACTGTTGCATAGTACATCAACAGGATAACATTTATCGTTATTTAGCAACAGCGGTGATAAACGCCTATGGGTTGCTGCGATCGCTTGTGGATTGTTTGTTTCATTAATCTTATCAAAATGGAAGTATGAAAACATGTCAGAAGCAAGACGCAAAGCAAACGAAATATATCTTTATTAAAAAAATAAGTGTAAAGTTGAAAATTAAGGAGAGAAACACTCAAAAATCAGTCCAAAAATGTTTTTTACAATGACGCAGTTGTATTTTTGATTTCATTTCTAACCATTCGATTGGAACAAAGGAAAAAGATGTAAGACCAGGACGACTAGAACTCCACCGAAGTAACTATTAAGAGCTGATATACACCTTTTATAAATATTGTGCATAACATTAATTTGCATGACTCTGATACAGTAGCAGTAACAACCAGGGAGTCGTGAAGGACCAACAGAAGCCAGTCCTGTGCAGCTTCCTTTCATACCACGACACTATGTCATACACTGACCACCTCTCCGCTTTTGACAACCAGGATACGACGAGGAAATCTCTGGGACGGCATTCGCAGAACATGTCCAAGCCACCGAAGTCGATGTTTCAAGATAGTGACATCAATTGGATTATCGTCTCTGCGCCCGAACACACGATACCGAACCTCTGTATTACTAACATGGTGTTGCCACTGGATGTCAGCAATCCTTCGGAGACAACGATGACCAAACATAGAGAGAGTCGTCTAACATCCTCAACTCGATGAGGCCAGGTTTTACAAGCATAGAGCAGAACTGCTCTCACCGACGCGTTGTAAATCCGACCTCTTACAGTCAGACTGACATCACGAAGGCGCCAAAGATGACCCAGATTGGCATAAGCCGCTCTAGCTTTCACTATACTCGCATTGATCTCATCACTCACGCCATCACCAGCACTTATGCAGCTACCTAGATACACGAGCTTATCGACTACTTCTATCTGCTCACCATCCAGGGTGAGTACAGGATCAGGGTCCTGCCAGCCTTGTAAAAGTACTTTGCACTTAGAAGGTGCGTAGCACATACCGTACCTACGGACACTAATTGCCAACTGATTAAGTGCGGATTGCATGACTTGGGCGTTATCACACAGTAAGACAATATCGTCCGCATACTCAAGGTCGAGAAGTCTTTCTCCGGGCAACAGATCCACACCGCCATTACTTATATCCATCAGAGCTGTTTACAGAATATCATCGATGGCAAAGTTGAAGAGGGATGGTGATATTGGGCAACCCTGTCTAACCCCACTGCTTGAATGGAACAGCGGAGAGAGGTGGTTATATGTCCTCACTCTACCTAAGGTGTTTGTATATAGGGCTTTTAGGCACACCCTTCTCCAATAGCTTGGACGCAATCAGAAGTAGGCTTATCCCCAGATAGTTGTTACAGAAACAATGTGAACCCCCCAAAGGCCCTGGTACGGTCGAAAGTGGGGAAAGTCCGCTTTCTCTCTCGAAATGCTCTCATATGGCCACGCGTATGTAGCTTCTGTCAGAGAAGTCCTACTCACTGCCTTCTCGTGAAGAGAGTATTGTTTACGAAATTGAGAGGACGAAACACGAAACTCCGGCGCTTTAACCGGGTCGGTGGACTTGGAGAGTCCACTTAGGGTAGTTGGGAAACCCTGATTCCAAACCAATGGTGTACATGGGCTCCAGGATCCTGAGGGAACAAGTTGCGTATGAACCAATCGTTGGTCACCGGCTACCATGAGACTGCATCTCGTGACGTTGCTTCACTGCCTTGTGGATTAGACCTTGATGTTAAAGGCTCCGGGTGTTGCTCCCTAAGAAAACCACCTCCTGCGGTTTAGGCATCCGAGCAGTATCACAGCCCTCACACAAATTTGATGAGATGGGAAATATTTCACAAAATACTATGCTCGCTCCAATCAGAACTCAGACATTTCATTTTCATTTAATAACATTAATCTTCATTATTATTACTGTTTTTTTATATACTACATCGCTCATCACTTTTTATTCTCACTTCTTATATCCCTATTTTCCAACTTATACAACAGCTTGCGCATGGTGGAAACATTGTTCTATCTTAACGATCTCGAGTCACTGCCTGGTCGAAAGTTGAATGCTTCCACCGAGTACGAAATTGCTTCAGCGTTTAATACTACATTGTACACCAAAAGTAGACACCGATCAAGACTACTATTGTCTTTCAATTACACTTAAATTGGGTTATTTAGATCAAAAATATTTTAAAATTGTATATACTGTCGTTATTCTTCGTCTCCCACGTGATGTGCTGATGGTGTTTGTTGACATAGCAGACTACGAATAATCCCGCTTTTTTTCACTACCGATGTGTGGAGCCCTTGTAAGTCAGTCTGAAGCCCTAATTACAATTGTGAATAGAGGCTCTGTCACAATAAAAACATTTGCAAGCAACCAAAAAGTGATGAGTTATACCTTTTAAATAAAGTAATTTACATTTATAAAACCAAAACGCCTTTAGTTTAACGATAAGTAAAAAGTTGTCCAGGATTACTTTTTTCATTACATAGACTCATGATAAGTGGAAAAAGTCGTTTGTCTTATAATGGAGCGACTTACACTACATTGTAAAAGGTTGAAATCCAATTTTCTACTCACTATGAAGGATATTAAAGATATGTATTTTATTCTATCACTGAGAATAACTCAATGCTTAGCTCATTGATATTACTAACTTCAATCTTCGTTTGAGATACATGGACCGAGTTGTCAACCTATTTTAATAATGAAAGCAGGCACGTTGGAATATATTGGTAAGATAGGGATCAAAGTAGCCAAGCGTGGAGTGGTGAGCAAGCTGTTGATGCAATCGCTCTAGCTACTAGGTTTCAGGTACAAAATTTACTTGACCTACTTCATTTTTAAAAGCTTGAATATGTCATTGGTCTTCATGTAGAAAGCATGGTATATAATTGGGTAAATGAACCTGGTAACTAGACCGAATCAATTAGCACTACCCGCAAATAATTAAAAAACTTTGTCTCTCCTTCGATGATTGTCAGTCAGCTACAATGTAGGACCAGGCACATTTATGCATCAGTCCAAGTTACCATACCTCATTAGAACAACAAGATGAACACCAAATTCATAGAAGCAGTTAATTTAATGGTGGTAATATCTAAAAGGAAGATTGCATATAAGGATATAGTACAGGAAGAGAGAATTAGTTCATGGAGAGATATAAATCTATTTTAATCTCATAGTTTAAGGGACGACAGAGAGTGCATACACCCACACCATTGTGATCGATTCTGAGCCATGTCACCCAAAGTCTCCAACCTTCAATGATTCACTAAAACGACGACCTATGGATAGTTCGTTATTGGTCGGAGCGACCTCAGATATAAAGTAATAGATTGTTCTGATGTTAATCCCAAGCATACCGAAAAAGGGATACAAATGAGACATTCCTCAAGATAATAATTAAGAAATGTGAGTCTTATTTGCATGCCGTAAGGAAATAGTAAAACGTTTACCTCTTCTGCGTCTATAGGTTTTAAATGTCGCTGAAACTACGCCGATTTGTCTATATTTCGCTTAAAAAACACGCCAAACTGTCGAAGTTCTATATCCATTTATACGGAATCCACACTAAAATATTTGCTCTTGATCGAAATATGTGTCCATCATTTCCATCAAAAAACAAACGTTTAGACAGTCGACTAGGTTCAAACATTACACTCCATTAGAGATTTATTTACATGAAACCTAGTCCTCATACCAAACGATAAATCACTGAAACGCCTAGTATGAATAATAATTAGTGTCATCTGCTGACGTTTCTCGAACCAATGTCGAACTTCCGTAGTATTGCAAATCAAGAAAATTAGTGAGACCTCCTAGACCATGTTTTTCTACTGTTTTGTTGTTTTGACAGGAAAACACATAACTCGGCCTGGAATTACGTCATATTATCAGAAAATTTATCACCTAAATTGACAGTGCATATTAAAATGTACTTGACTTACAAGACAAAAAGAAAACATGCGCAGCGGAATAAGTTGGATTTGATTCAGGAAAGTCTTGTAAAAGCAATTCTATTTCCTTGAGAAAAATTACGAAGACCGACTGACTTACTGCTCTTCGGGGCCTCATGATATATATTGCATGCATATTTAGTTTCTGACGCTTGCAGTTTAGAGATTCTACAACTAGACATTCAGTAATTACATAAACTATAGACAAACTTACGAGTTATACCGTACTCAGTTATATCTTGCATCTTGAAACATGATGATAATACACGTGTGGCAGCATCATCCATAATCAAAACCTTCCATCCGGGTGTTTTGGAAAGTTTTTCAAAAACATATTTACGCAAAGCTATGAAATAAGGTACAGTGACCAAAACAACATACAGGACCCGACCTCGCTGATCAAAGACATCGGGCTCTAGAGAGTTAAACTCCTTAAAAGCGCCTTCCAATAATAAGTATTTTAACTGAAAATAGTGCAAAAGTCACCAATTAGTTGAAATTGCCACTGTGTTGCCAACACGACCTTGAGCACCTCAAGTAACAGAGATTTTGTATTTGATGCGGTACATGTGCCTCGTCTTTCTAGTACGTGTGGTGTGGTTGAGCTAGATATTGTAACAAACATTTTTATTGACAGATAACTATAGGTATCGTGTATTGTTTCATATTTTTTAAGCAATATAGACCCTGCCAACCTACGCTATTTTTTAACAGATATTGATCTACTAACGAATCTACGGTTGAAAAAATGTTCAAGTACTTTAAAAGTGTCTCAACGTAAAAGAGAAGTCCAAATGTTGTAAATCCAGGTTATGTGTGCTAAGTTATTCATACAAAAGTACAGGAAATCATAATAAACGTTAGAAACATGTGTTTGGTGTTCTTAAACGTACGTTGGGTTGTAAAAGAAACCCACAAGTTTTCAGCCTTTTCGCGAAACGATAAGACTGCCTACCCTTATGTGAACAAGTAATTCTAAGTGTCTTGTTTGTAACCCAATGATTCGAGTTGCTTTACATGATGATGAGTATACGACAAAGTTTTTATGGTAATTTACGATCACACGTGTTTTAAAAGCTTAGTAGTTACAATCCGATAGCGAGAAGATTGTCTTCTGAGGAATAATAAGACCCTGCACTGCAACAAACATCCACGTTTGAGGGTGTGGTTCAGCATTTAAATGATTCATCTTACAAAAATTCACTATCAGTAACTTAGGCGGCCTCAGATCTTAGGTTGCTCAAAGTGTCTCACTAAATATTTGCGGCCTGACTTATCCCGAAATGAATTAATGAATGTGTTAGGTCGCAACAATTAGATGAGAGAGTTTTCTTCAAAATACGTATTCTGAACTGACATTGTTTGGCTGCTCATCGACAGATTGGATTGCGTGAAAAGTATCCGGAAGTGGTATGCGTTGGTTTGATATACACCACAAACGAGGAAGGGTAGACAAGTTATTTCGTATGTACCTTTTAAGATATCACTTGTTATTACTAATTATAATGAATTGTTGTGCTTGTGATCGTTCTGTATTGTGTGAGTGGACCAGGGAACAGTTGACTGTCTTATATTAATGCTAGATGCCTAAGCTTGTAGCAACTCAAATCGAATTGTTAAGAATTGACTGCTAACATCTTAGTAATGTCAGAACATTGTAGCTTGAGTATTCATTCACTTCCTTAATTTGTATGGGCATTATATTTCCTATTATTTTATATTGAATGTCAAGATCGAAAAATGAAGGGAACTCTTGTGTTAGTGATTGGGAGGTGTAAACTTTTTCTACAGTTGGTAGACTGTTCCGGGGATATGTCTCGGTAAACGTTGAGTTCGTAGACGCATCGTGGAAATTTAGAGCACAAATATTATCATATTTGTAGCAAATTTTGTCGGAATGGCAAGTGATGTACTACTATTGATGTAAAATTGACGCGAATTAAATTACGAATTCATCCTCTGCATATTGCTCGTTCTTCATTTATTGTTTAAGGAGCGTGGTTCTTCATGTTTAGTGATCATCTGCATTGTTTACTTAACACAACTAACTAACTTTTTCTCACAAATAGATGGGTTCTTATGATAATTAAAAGTATTTGAATTATAGTATGAACTAAGAATTCCAGAAATAACGTAATCGGATTAAGAAGTACTAGATAACCACAAACCAATGTACTGTATCTAGAATTCTAAATCAGGCATTCAACCAGTACAAAGGAATCATTAGTTCATTCAAACACCACATCCGCCACAGCTTAAATTGGAGTTTAATTGTCTGTAATCGATTGTACATCCTCTTCTTAAGTTCATCTTGAGTCTGTCCGACATTGTATTAGATAAAAACTCTATTATCTAAAATGTACTCATTAGTATTGGAATTAACAACCGAAATCGGAACAGAATCACCTACTTACTAGAATTGTGTAACCAGCATGTCGGTTGTGTACTGAAACTGCTGTTACCCAGAATTTGAACCATAGATTTTTCAACACCATCCTCCCCCATGAAATAATGTTGGATCTTCATATCTCCAAGTTATGAATAATGTGGTTTCATTTATAACATATTTCTCACATTGATTAGAGTAAACATGAGAAATGACTTCATGATAAGGTCAAACAGACTGCATATCGCGATAGGTGTGTATTAAGGAGAAATATTCTCAACAGTGGAACGACTGTCTAAAACTCGTGAGTATGCTTTGCGAAAATTAGATCTTAAAGTGTTAGACATTAACATGTTTTACATCCAGGTGACGTTATGACGAGGATTACTATATGTCTAGATTCACCGCACAACAGGCCAAACATAATGATCAAGGGTGTAATAACGACTATTATAGAATAATCTCTGCGTTATGTTGATAACATTTCTCCAGACTTCCCGTGAAAAATGTTGTGCTTCAGAGAATGTTTCTGCTAGGAAAGCGGTAAAAAGTCGGCTATTCACTGCCACTAAAGAGTTACTCGAGATAAATATGTATGCTAAATGATATAATTTGCTCTACGTTTACTAGTTAGAGAGTAATGATAACCAGGCTGATAGGTAACCAACCGAAAATAGCAACTGAAATAACTGTATCCAATATAATAAAACCGGATATGCCAATAAGCTTCACGCTGATGAGGTAGCCACAAAACAGAGCATACCCAAGTTTTGATTTTGCTACGTTACAAAAATGAAAGCTAAGATTTACTGTCTCGTACTCACAAGTTGATTTAACACTTTATTTCTCAACGTCCAATTCTGGTGAAAAAAGATCTAGCAAAGGTTAACATTGCCGCCCACCAGGAGTACTCTCACGACATAAGAGATAAACTCAACAAGCAACACTATGGGGAGAAAGATAGTGTAGGTGACAATTTCCTCTGTTGGCTTTTGCTTCCCGGCTTTAGATGCCAACATCTTCCCGTTTACATTGTCACCGTAGGTCTCACCTTGTTTAACGACGAATTTGAAATAAACAGCTCACAAAAACACATCCGCAGCGATAAACTGCTGTTTATTTTTGAATTTAGCTGACAAAAACATTGCTGATTAATTTGGCAATTTACCATAACGTAGACTAATATCGTTAAGTGCTTTTTTAACCCTGCATCCGCTTTTTTGACAGTTTGTAAATTATGAATGAAATCTGACAATTTGTAATTTAAATTTTTCATCTCCTAATTGTTTGCTTAAAAGTTACGATCTTGCCAATCAACCATTCTTCAAGAAACGATTAAAATGGGACTTTCGATCACAAAAGCGCCCCTTAATTCGTTTTTTTGGATTCTTTGGATTTTGGATGCACTTCAGATCTCTATAATTTATGTTGAATTCCTAGATATATTGACTGATATCATTGGACTAGATGGGACTTTCTAATTTTTTAATTTAAGGACGACAAATGTGATGATAGTGCGAGCTGTAGTATATTCAATTTACCAAGGTATAGTTAAGTAGATTTTCGCTTGTGAAAAAGTTTGGAAAGAGCCTTGCATTGGAGTAGTAGCTGAATCTGTCAGAAATTTAGGATGATTAGTTAGCTAAATTGATGTTGGGCTTTTGATGAAAACTTTGATCAATTTTCTTATGGACAGTAGTAGGGTAGGAGTCAAGTTAGGAGGAGATTAGAAATATAATACTTGTTGGATCATCCGTTTCTAAAAACTACTTGGCAACACGGAAGATAAATAAATTCATGATGTGATAATTTGTGCACAGTTGGTGACGTTATAATATAATGTATTTCTTCGATGGCAGGTAAACGCCAATTTTATAGGCTTGATCTATACGTTACAACACTAGTTTACTTAGAGTACGCTTCACAAGTTGTTGTTAAACAAATGAAGTCAATGTAATTAAAAGACGATGCATGTGTGCAGATGTCCCAGTGCGCCAGTGTTTTAGTTTTGCACTGAGTACAGTTTTTAAAATGTTTTTCTCAAATGCCATCGCGTCCACGTTGCACACCAGATCTCTTTGTTCTGCCATTGGGGTTAGGACAGGACGAGTAACTGTTCTTGTGACCTTTGTGGAAGAGAACCTTTAGTTACCCATGAAATAATTGTAGGTTTTCTCAATTACAAATCTGTTTGATGTTAATCTGATGGCTTAACCAAATCTGTAGCCAAGCTATGTTATGTATACATAACACTAACAAATGAGATACAAATGTGATAAAAGGTGTAAGGCCTATTTAGAAAGTGATTGTGTTACCTCTACTGCTGAATCCACAGACTATGTGGTTATAGGAGGCTTATAAGACTTTGATTGTTGGTAAGAAAGTAAACCTTGAAGAGATTTTAGCCTTCGTAAAAGGGTCCAGAGTTGCTAAAAGGCGGCGTTGTATGCTTACATAAAGTAATTCGGTGATCAGTGAACGGAGTTGTGAAAGGAGATTTTTGTGAGAGTACATTCCACCATAGTTTTGCGTGAGACTATCAAATTGACGAAATTCACAGGTTTTGGTCTTATCAGAGGTAGACAGAAGTTAACAGACTGCTTGAAGTTATCGAGAGTGGGTGTTGCAGGAACCAGAAACAGAAAACATGCGTTTCTTGCTCGTGTACATTTTGGTTAAGTGGTTGTAGGTCCCAGGCGAACAAATAGATCAAAATATAATGTTCGGCAGTTTCACAGTTCCCTTATTCGCCATTGCACAATCAAGTGTCCGAGGATTTGAGTGAGTCTAATAAAAAAGTATGTTCGAGATAGAAAATATCTTGAAGTAGTTAATCGTTCTCTCAGGCTGATGGATGACCGCTATCAAACAAGTTCGCCTGGGGATTGAGGAAAAGTTACTAAATGGTTCCTAAAAATATGTCTATTTTAATGAATACACATTTAGGTAAAGTCTACATCATCAAATCTAGTGAAGCAGTTTTGAAATAGGAAGAGTTTAGCTGGTACAGTCGATATCATCATATTGTTAACCTCAAATAGCCAGGAAATTTGAAAATTATTTTAAGGGTATTACTTTTCACCAGGTTCTTCTCATCATAGTGAGCCTTTGAGAGGATCAAATATGCTAAAGTTTCGAAAAAGTGGTCCTGCGATTTAGTTTATGTGCGACAGTATTGACTACTGATATTAAATAGATGTTTCTCCAAGTAAATTTCCATGAGAAAGTAACATTCCACTTGTCATGGGTTAGGAAGGTGACGTAGGAAAAGAGGTGAGGGATACTTTTGGTGTTCGATTCACTTCGAGCGGTGTCTCCTACGTTTTATAA